AAATAAATAAATTCTTATGTAAAATGTATTGCTTTTACATACTACTCGAAACAACCAAAAATTCTAACCATTCAATGAAAAAAATAAACATTTAATATTATATAATATGTCACCAATATTTTAGAAATAAATAAATTTTTAAGTAAAATGTATAGCTTTTACATACTACTCGAAACAACCAAATATTCTAGCCATTCCACATGCAAATATTTTTCTCAAACAAATCCGTATACAAAGAGTATAAACTCAGGAGGAACTTTGGATTCATCATAATAAAATTTTAAACGAATAAGGAAAACAAGATTTGTAATGATTGTTGTGTATGTTTTTGGATTTCCTTTTCTTTTCCTCAATGTTCGCCAAAAATTGAGATTCTTTATTTTCTGATTACAGGCGAGGTGATTGGACAACGTTTTCTAGGAAACGAAAGCCACGTGGAACACTTCAAGTTACTCGAACGTGTGTCAACTTCCATATTGATCGGGGCGAGGTAATTTTGATACAATGATCCATTAGATTATTTTCAACGATTTCATTTTTGATACGAAACGTTATCGTAGTTCGTGACCGAAAAGAGAATTTATTGGGTAAGTGGGTGGGGGGTGGTAACAGGAATGGGGGATTGCTAACATCAATTCAATATTTTCTTCTAAGTATTGAGTATCTCGAGATACAAGATCAATCTATCTATCTATCTATAGATAAATAGATTGAGATCAATAGATCATTCGTCTATCGATCTATCGATCGATTTGTTCAGTCTCGGGATTGTGTTACGAAAGTGTCGGAAGTTTCTTATCGACCAATCAACAACTTACAACAACAACAACTAAATTCTTCTTTTCCAATCGGAAACATGACGTAGCATACTTGGTTTCGTGTTATCTGAAAAAAAAGAAAAATGTAATGTGGAAAAGATGGAAATTAAAATAAAAATTTACGTAGAGTATATTTATAGAGGGTGTACTTAATATAGTTGATTATTTGACAAATTTTTTTTTTATGTTAATATATAATATAGGTAATAATTTAAATTGTATAGTATATTATTGTATTGTATAGGGAAATAAATGAGAACTAGTCGTGATTTGCCATACAATAGGAATATTATTGAAACGGAGATAATATATTATTTTTTTTTTCAATTAATTATTATTTTGTTTTTTCATACATTCATATTATGTTGTTTCGATTTTTCAGAAATGCCATTTACAACATAAGCCTCCATGATCTCACGGAAATCATCGATCAGGTGAGCTTTTACTCGTTCGTTGTATTCTTTTCCAAAATAGAACAGATAAAGAAATAACAAAAGAAATATTTAAAAAAAAAAGAAGACACATCTTTCTCAAAACTACAACGCTATAGACATTTTTTTTGTTCGAATGATTTATCGATAATCGTTGTTATCGCGAAATCTTAACGATACTCGTATACAATACAACCGATACGAAAAAGTATCAATTAAATTGTATACGTAATAATTAAAAATACGGATTAGAAAAAATCTATATGAAAGTAAAACGAATAACGACAAATTAAAAAAAAAAAGTAATAAAAATCAAATCAAATGCAACCTACGCAAAAAACAAAAATAAAATTGAATATCAAAAACAAATCTTCCTCTTCTTTTGACATAGAAAAAAATGTTATTTTAATGGGAAACGATAAATGTGAAAAGTTTTCATTATTCTTACGTTATTTATGATCAAGAAAAGGGTGTAAATAAAGAAAGGGTAGAACGAGGATTGAAGGATGAGAAATAGGGTTGAAGAAGAAGGGCTAAATATGGGGAAGGGGGGTTTGGGGGAGGTTTGAGAAAGAAAGGTTTTACGTATGTTCACGTTAATATATACTATTTCACGTTCACGAATTTACTGTGAACTCAACCCGACCGTGGCATAAATTAAGAACAATAATGCGAGTATAAATTACCAATAGTGTCCCGAAAGCAGAATGCCGTAACAGTACGTTGTTCTTTCCTTTTTTGTACCCCCTCCTTCATCCCCCCTCTCATCCCTACCTTGTGTAAATCTGAATCTTTCCGCTTGTACTACCCTATGTGCTATTATTTTCATCCTCACGTTTGCTAATTCTTCTTCTTCTTCTCCTCCTCCTTCTGCTGCTGCTGCTACTGATGTTACTACTGTTGCACGATGCATTGTTACTCTCGTATTTTGCGAATAAAAAGAAAAAGAATGTTAACTTATATGTGTAGAAAATAAAATAAAATAAAATAGGGAAAAGATTGGATGGGAATTTTGTGATTTTTTTCTTAGAAATTCGTTTGAGAATTTATTTAAAAATACGAGAATAATAATAATATATGTAAATATATAATAATAATAATAATAATGATAATATGATAGGAGGAGGTGCATTGTTATTTTCGTATTTTGCGAATAAAAAGAAAAAGAATGTTAACTTGTATGTGTAAAAAAAAAAAAAAATAAAATAAAATAGGGAAAAGATTGGGTGGACATTTTGTGATTTTTCTTAGAAATCCATTTAAGAATTTGTTTAAAAGTACCAGAATAATAATAATAATAATATGATAGGAAGAGGTGCATTGTTTCTCTCGTATTTTGCGAATAAAAAGAAAAAGAATGTTAACTTATATGTGTAGAAAAAAATAAAATAAAATA